CTAGCACTTAGAAACGAACAAAAACACCTGCCAATCGCGCTGTTCGCAATCAACAAGATTTAATTTTTTTTAACGAAATACCCACCCAAGCTCCAGAAAATGTGTACCATCGTGACTTGCATTGTGCCTCAACCTCAATTGTACCAATCCATCAAACAGGCCTCGTCGCTTAACAGCGCAGCAATTCGGATTGCTTTCCAAATTGCTTCCCTGCAGCTGTTGAAATCGATCCAGATTACCAAAACACCCAAGTTCAGCGGTCATCCAATACTAATACCAAGCGTTCGACTGCTGGCAGTTTTTCACGTACTGTCTTCGAATTTGTCATCTCCCATATTCAAACAGTCGTCCGTCCGTATTCGGTGTCTGAATTTTCTGCACTGCCATAGGTTGTCGAACGTGCCTTTCTGCTGCCGACCTTCAGTAGTACTTACATTTAGCCAACGCGCATCCTCATTACCATTGTAACCGCACTGCCCGTATAGTACAGTCTCATTACATAGTCACCGAATTCCTAACAAAGCAGCCTCATCCTGGGTGTTAGGCTCTGTGTCATCAATTCCAGCCACATCTATTTTGTGGCACTCATAGGCAATCGATCACGTTATTCTCTCCTTCCAATATCCCCTATAAACACAATGGAATGGGTTGCCCGGCTTCCCCAGAGTTCCCAGGTCTGTATTTGGCTATTATGCGATCCAGGTAACGTTTGCCAATGCTCGACCGAATTCCAGCAGGAACTGCCACAATTGGCTTTTTGAATTCCTTTGCTATCGACTTTGAACTTACCAGAATGTGTGCGGAAAACCAGGTTCAAAAACACGCATTCAAGATTTTTCGCTCTGGGTAGTTCATCAGTGTCTAGCTTCCTCAGCGGTGCGCACAGAACAGTGTGTGGACTAGGTGCAACCGTTTTTTCGTAAAAAAAGATCGAGACTCTTTTAAGTGTTGGTACTGACATCCAGTCAAATACAGCTGCATACTTAGTGATTATCAACAGCTACCATCTTTCATCTGGGAGACCAGTACGAAGGTAAGAAGGTCTTCTTCAGGTTGATCACACACTTAATCGCGAATGATGTGGAAATCTATGGTCGACAGCCTTCGGCCATGGCTGTGCGGTTTCTCAGATTTAAGGGTTACGCCTCGGTCTTTTTCCAGGATTTATTTCAACGAAGTTCGAACTTCAAAGATGGGACAATATGTATTATTTTCTCCATCCAGTTCACCACCTTGATTGCGAACATGTTTTGGTTAGTGATAAGCAGTCCTTTTCCCTTAAACGGGCCTCCTTCGATAGACAATTACCCGTTGGTGAAAATTGGTTTAGCGAACCGAAGCTTCTCACCCGGAACACTCACCCAACACTCGGAAAGCAACGAGAAATGTTTTATAAAGACGATTCACCTTCCCTCCCGCGCTGGCCACACCTGTTTGCAATTAGATCGGGGAATAATTTTCCCTCTTGGTTTCCCTAATTTTATACTCGAGTACTTGTTTACCGCATGACTCAACGCATACTTCACTTCCCTTAACGAGAAGTGCTATTCAATCCAGATGCCGGTAAACGGTACGTTTGACTAGAGCGGCTAAGCCGTCAGATCACTGGTCGTCTGCAATTGTGATCTGATTCCGACGTAGTCTTGTTAGAGCTGATGAAAGGTACATTTCTCGCACAAGGCCCGTGATGCACGTTCCCGCGAGGAAGGTTCAGATTTCGTAGCATCAGTTAGATAATTTTGTAAGCTTTAGCATTCCGATTCAGTGTGTGAAAGATGTATTTCTTGAACTGTTGCAGTAATGCCTCTGTAACTGACACTGACCCACTCATCTGCGTGCCAATTAGTACGGATTGAATTGGGCATTGCATCACTCCCTCATTTGATATAAGCGGCACAAGGGTTCAGTAGTGTTGTTCTTCAAGATATGGAGGTACTTCTCCTCCATTTCTACTTCGTTAACTTCTATCGGCTGATGTTGCGAAGGACGTGCTGTATGAACAGTAAGTATCTGCTGACTGAAGTAAAACTATTTGCAAAAGATAATTAGAGTAGAGTTTTTCGAAGTCATCCAGCCCTCGACCAAGCAGTGCAAAAAACATTACTCATTGAAATGACTACTGTATCTAATGACTAAGGAACAATATGAGCATCGTAAAGCTGATTAGCTGTCGCTCCTCTTTCCTAACGTTTGCTTGCAGAATCAATGCAGATTCAAATTCTCTTTAGGGTTCTCAATCCTTCCATTGAACGCCTGAGTTGCTCAACTCATCGAGCGTAATCCCCCTACCACAAACTTACCGGGCTTCGTTCGAACAAACAATCCTAAGGGCTTGACACACCTGTCTGCCTTTTATGATTGTTATGCAGTCCAAAGGTTCAAATGACTTGCGAGGTGACTCGCTATTTCGCTGGGCAAAGTTACAATCAATATCGATCGAATAATCAACCCTCAGGTAACGAACGTACAAAATGACAAGGGTTTCCGCTAGTCATTTTTCAATGCGAGGTGTTTTTGTGAGTAAACTGTAGGTTAGTTGGGTAGAGAACATTGTTTTGGCTGCTCATAGGAATACATCATGCTTCATCCACTTCTTTAAGCATGGGGATTTCCACTATGAATCCTGCAGTCTAGACCGTCGTTTGTTAGGGAACTCCGTGGAACTCTCCTAAGAAGAGCTACCACCGGAGAGTCCAGAACAATGTTTTTCATCAACCATGGCATGACTTCCAAAAGAATTAGTTCTCTCAGAAAAGACTTGCACCTCAACAGCTACAGTCATTTGTATTCCACTTTGGTTCCCACGGGAGAATTACATAAAACTCACCTGAATCTTCCGTTCATCGTGTTCTTCAAATAAATACGCTGCACAAAAGTCACGTCATGTTTCGTTTGGTATGGTGTTCGAGATATCGCAGTAGATTCTCCAGAAAGAGACTACTCACAAGGTTGCTGAAGAATATCCTTCACGAAAAATTCAGGTGGGTTTCAGGTGAGTCTCCTACGAAGGTTTACAAATTGGTGTATCTTTCAAATTTCGTGCAATTTTGTCTAATTAGAATATAAGGTTGAGTGAAACTCTGAGACTGCACTTACCTGACGAGCCTCGGGAAGGATGACACTGGTCGCGGACTGTAAAAGCATCTTCAACAACCTTATGAGTAGTTTCTAAATGAGCCTAAATGGCGCTCATCACTCGTGACGGATGGTTGAAAGAGGCTGCTCCACTGCATTGCTTGAAAGGGTACAACAAAAAGGCCATCGTACTCCGGAGATTCTGCTGAGTTTGAGAATATTAACGATCGAATCTCATAATGCAGTTGGTTTTATTAAAGTATCATGGCAACGCGCATTTTCCATGGTTCAATCGCTGCATTCAATAATCTGTCAAATTACGAAGTCTTCTTTCCATCGGCGACAATTTTTCTCTAAATTGGCTGTCAACAACCAATATCTGGGTTCAACTAATTACCGAAGCAGACGCTTGACGCACTCTAGAAGCGAACTAAATCGCAGATCCAACAACTGTTGTTATTCATTTACTATTGAGGGTTCGAATCTCAGTCATTTCTGACTGTGACACATTTCTATCTGTAGGTTGACACTTTCTCTAGTATTTACGATAAAAGCTGATGATAGAACGTTTCTCTAATCTTCATCAAAGGTGTCCCAGTCTAGTAAGTAAGTGATGCTAGGGCGTTCCGTTGTATTTGTCGCGCTATATTTTGCTGACCAGTTAACATTGCCTTGTTGCGTTCGATTGTTTTTCGCCGGTTATTCACCTGGTGCCATGCTTGTTGTTGCTCCAGTCCATGTGCTGCTTTGACTGCGCCCTGTTCATTTGCCTATTTTAATTTTGCTGTCAGTTGTTAAGGTGTGCACCGATGGTGTTTCGGTTACCATCCTTAGATAAGTAACCCAGTCAGACCCTGAAGACCCGTCAGTTTTGGTTTGTGCTCACTTTTATGACATGCGGTGGTCTTCGCACCACACGAATATCTGCAACCTACCTGGCCCAGCAAACAAACCAGTGATCGCTTCTGCTACCTGATCTACTAACATTCTCCTTCGAGCTTGATATCTCATCGGTGGGAGAACTTCGCCCGCCATAAATCCTCCATGCGCGAAAGCCATAAGCGCCAATCACCCAAGCCCACTAGCTTTTGAACATGGAGGCTCGCCATTGAATTTGACAAGCTACTTTACCAAAAAGTCTTCCAAACTGTCATAAGGAGTTTGTTCGGTCCATCGCGTGGTGCAGTCTACCTGACATTCTACCTAAATCTTCTGGTTATGGCTTTTTCAGACAGACACCAACTGAACACAACGGAACTTTCTGATGCCTTGTGGATTCTGAAGAAGACGAATGATAGTCAGATTCTCTACACATAGTGCTGTGTTGTGTGCATTTATCTATAAGACTTACCGAAATAAATGGATTTTAGTAACGGTGATACTGTGGCCTGGTGAGATGGTCAGGAAAACCAGCTGCCCAAACAATCTAATCTCGTAAACTGAAGGCGTTTGTTTGGCCTCGAGGGACTATTATAGTGAGCAGTAGCGAACTCGATTGATGTTACCCTTGAGCCATACACCGAGAGCTGATGATGTATCTTCGCTTTAGGGGAAACGGAATCGCACAATTACTGGGTTCGCCGAAGAGAAAAACATCAGTATTCATGCCACTGCTGCCTTGTGGAACTGCTTATTAGCACTGTTATTTGTCAGCGCAACTAACGAGTTTGGACCTATCTTGTTTATCTTCGAACGACGTTTGAACAATCTCAGTTCTCACTTCAAGACCACCACTTCGCTAAGGCAACTAGTAACCAAACGTATCCTTTGATCACACTACCCATTCAAGTTAATTCAGTTCCTTTGAAAACTTGTCCATACAATTTCTCATAATTAAATTTGTCGTTTCCTTCTTGACACACAGGATGCTTTCGCATTTTAATCTTCAACACGTTTCTCATCCACACTCTCTACCTCCCAAACAGGACGAATTGGGGATTTTCTGGAAGATATTTATGTGGATCACACATATCTATCCGGTCTTCAACTGCTTCCCACAACGACTGTGGCCTTTTTGAAAAAAGTAGCTGAGTGTCACCGCAACCTCATGTGAGTCTCCGTTTGACATATCAGGGACAGTGGAAAATGTTTACCAATGAAGTAGTATCATCTATCGCTTAACTCTGTCAACGGATAAATTAAAATCGACATTTATTCACTGCATGCACCACGAAGCCAAACGGTGCGCCACACCCACCTGGAAAAACACCGTTAGACAGTGACAGTGACTGAACCTACACCTGCGCTACCCTGACAGTTGGATCATCGCGGTCCCCACTTCACTTGACAGCGTAGGGTGGGTTAAATTACTCATTAGACGCACGCAATGCGAACTAGAGCCTTGGTGGCTTTTGCTGATGGTTCTTGTCATCAGGTTTTTTGGGACCGGTTCGTGGTGTTTTGCACGTCACTACTGATATTTCTGTAGGGAACACAAACGTTATCGCAAACATCTTCCATGCGCTACCTGATTTCGCGAAAGGTCCCTCTGTTTGTCTTAGAATAACGTAAACTACATCACGAAACATTCAATAGGGTTACTTTGGCTACATTCAGTGCGCTTACTGTGTAGAATGGGTATTTATGTCAGTTGATGTTTTCTGTAGTTGCACGGAGATATCTAACCGCGGCGTTATTCAAATAAAAAGGTTAATGACACTATCATAATACTCTTTCAATCATTAGAAAGGTCACCGGTGTACACCTACCGACATTTTGATCAAAATCAGCTCAGTGATACCGTTGCGAATCTTGCGAATCCCTTGCAACAACACCTCCGAATGCGAAAAAACAGAACACGAAATATCATAGGATCTGATCGTGCAGAAGAACCGCGACCATTCTAAGCACGAAATTCTGGGTCTTCAACACAACCATCTGTCATTTCTGATTTGTGATATGGTCGCTACGATCAGATGATATCCGGAAGATGGTGGAGCCTTATCATTGGTGTTTCCGGCTTGTAGCGATAGTTTGCTACAAAGAGAAACTATTCAATGGTGTCACGACTCACCACATCTGTCCTATTTTATTCAACGACAATCATGCTGAAATTGTTGTTAATATGAGGGGATTCGTAAATTGTCAATTGGGCTGTCGTCCTGTGATTGAAAGCCATTCTGTTTGGCAAAGCACGCATCTGACGAAACTCCAGTGGGGACTTTTGAACCTGCGACCCTCCGACCTGAAGTTTGAACACTAAACCGCTCAGCCACAAGCGGTTGATCAACAATGTGATTAGCTCGCACCTAGGTAGGATATGACGTCACTCATTCTTCAGTCACGAGATCCATACCACCTAGTCCTTGTTGACTGGCTCCCCGAGTGACTACTTCTTACATGGACAGCTAATGTGACTTGTGAATTATTTCTCTCTCTGAGCTACTTGGAAGTCGTTGACCGCATGTGAACATTTGTAAATCGCGAAATGGACCTACTCCCTTATGCCAGGTCAAGGAGGACAGCTGGAAACTTGACTCAGTAGGGCCATAGACGGTGTGGGATAAATTGATCTCCAACTAGGCCACGAAGTATGTCATCAGCTCGCAATTTAATCGGATCTGGCAGTCGTTCGCCTTGCTTGGTCAGCGGGACATTTCCGAAGCCTACCCTAACCTACCGCACCTCAAGACGTTGGCACCACGCGGTGGCTTGTGTGTGCTAACTTGTTCGAACCTACACATGCAGCATCGTGGTGTAAACAAATGTGTGGGATGTGCGAAAGGCCGTCGGATCCACTTGGATGAAAAAATTTCTATTATTTAGTGGCGTCTCGGTTAGATGCGGTAGACACCAGCAATCAGGGAGAGCACTAACCCTAGACACTCTGAAATTTACCCGTGGAAGGGCGCAGATTGTTTAATCGATCGCAACTATTATATAACTGGGCAGGTTTTCGATGGTTTGTTGGAGAAGTATAAAGTATAAGTTTTCGTTTTCAAAAAGGAGAGCTGCGCTGAAAAGTTTTTACGATGTTGGAATATCCATTAGACTCGACAGCAGTGTTTCCTACACTTGGAGCAAGAACTTTAGGTTCTCCAACTGTTGGCGGTGACTCTGTTGTTAATCTTTTTTGACGATTGTCAAAACCCGTTGTTTGTTGGCAAAAAATGGTAGCTCGAATGAATGTATTGGTTGTTGTGTACGTGGCTAGTGATCTGTTCACCGAACTTGGCAGTTGATCTGCAAAATTACCATCTAAAGGGACAGCACCAGTGCCCGTTTGATCTCTTCCCATCGAATGACAATAAAACGCTTGCAAACTAATTGGCAACCTCGGTGAATAGATCAGTGGCCATCTGTCTAATAAGTAAGCATACACGGTAGCAATAAAAAGGCTCCTTATTATCCGTACTGTTAAGACTGCCTATATCTGGTAGTGTGTTGAATCCCAAGGAACAACAACAAAGTTGTTAATACAAGTTATTGCAAGAAAATTTTTAGTGTATTCTGACGAAATGTCATGTGACTGGCTTCTCCGCTTACAGCTTCTCAGCTAGGTCCGTGATTTGAGAAGCCAGTATCGAGTGATGGTACTGTGACTCAGGAGGATAGTGTCGTTATAACTTGTCTAAGTGGCCTTTTCTGAGCACTGTAATCTCCGTAGTGAGAGATAGTACATCAAATGCCGATGGATAGGAAGCTCTGTTGGTGTGGACTCCAAGAATTTCTTCACAGTCCATTGCATTCCTCCCACTTATCGAGGCCCTAGCCCCTAAGCTCCCTATCTTTTCTGCCACTTGGGCATCAAATTGTACATAAACTGTTTTGTGCAACAATTCGTAAACGCAGGACTCCATCGAGGCTTTCGTTCATGATATTCTTCGTTACATACCTTTATTGATGCGGATAGTTCTTTCGAGCCGTGTGCTTTTGGTGGCTTATTGTATCTCTGGCCCCTAATGACTTCTCTTTCTATCTGACACAGTGGCCAATCACCAGCCGAAGCGGATTTTAATCTGCTGGACACAGTTCGAAAGGTTGAACTCTACGGATTACGAATGCATCCAGCCAAAGTAGGTTAATTTACATCACTTCTCTGTCTCTAATCTACTCATTTCGCGTAATATGCCTGCTGGCATGTTATTTCTCGCCGCATGAGATTTTCTCACCAGTAGTGTTGTATTCGAACGGCTCTGTTCTCAAAATGCATGGTTTTTCTTACCAATTTAGTCAGTGATTCGGGTACGCGGTAAACATTATTGCTATTTGTCTTAGTTGTCCAAAACGCTTATTCTTTTTGCTGATTGTATGTTCGGGCCTGACGACCGTGCGTGTGAATCTAACGCATCACTGTTTGGTCTTTCAGCACCAGCATCTCGGACCACTTCACTTGGGTTTGCTGAAAACAGCTAGTTCCTTCTTTCGAATTATCAAATTTGCGTGCATCAATCAATTAGTCGGCAAGGTACACCTTCCGTTGTTTCGTAGTGCGGGTAGGCAGAGTAATTGGGCAAGCTTGAAGTTAGATTCAATTATCTATCTACGGCTGAGCTTGTTTACGTCAATCAGCATACACAGTTATCTACAACCGTGGGGGGTTTTTTTTTTGGGGCGAAAAGCTTGTTTGACTGTCAAATACAGATCAACGCGTTTTCTAATGCTGGTTGAAACCGTAAGTTTCACGTTGTACCGCGCCAGATAGACCTACCAGCTAATCAGTGTCGTTAGCATTGTTACTGACTGTTGCCTTCAAGACGCTTGTGCATTTGGTACAGTCCTGGTCTCCGAATTTCGGCGAATGTGAAATACGGAAGTGATCTTAATCTAATATCTCAGAATAAAACCCTCCCGTGCTTCTTAATAGATTTGTAGTATCCCCGGAACCGACTCCTCTTGAGTGAATTCGCTCCGCTGAATACACCAAAGGAGCGTTCCGCATCGTTCATGGAGAGTTTTGAATTTTCCTTTACCGTAGTGCGTGAAAGATGTGCTGGAGATGTGCCTTACTTTTGAATACTTTATCTGATTTGTTCATTCCTCGCAATGTGTCGAAGAACTCTCTATACTGTCGTTCTGCTGAATTTCAAGCGTTTCTTGCAATTCGGGACTTTCGGCTGATCTTAACTCGTTTGATTAGATAGTTGGGCAGATAAAAGTGTCTACATCCTCACTAGTTTCTGTCTGTGACGGAAGATACGTGAACTCTCTTCGCACCGACCATAAGCATACATAGCTGCCGGTACGACAGTAGACTATTAACAGACGTTGAGTTAGCTCGGATATCCCCTTCGGACAGTCGTTATTTGTAAGCTGGTTAGTTGTGCATCCTAACGTACAGACATATACACACTCTTGTTTTGTGTTTAACCACTGGGCTTTGCAGCTAGGACGTTCGAGTGAACTGTCATCAACAAGAATTCCACAAATTTCAGAACAGGAAAAGGAATGCACGTCTGATGTGCAAGAAATTAGATTTTTTGAAGGATAAAAGACTAGCACGTGCCACGTCTCAACTCACTAAACGGTATTCCACCTTGGTGGAATTCCCTTGGTGGGACCAGGACACAAAAAAGTCGAACAATACAAAGCTGTGACGACCTTTGGATTGAACCAAGTTCTTGATGGAGACGAACTTATGAGAGATTTGGAAGAAATACGAACCCCAGTGTATGTTTTCGTTTCTGTTCGGGTGTGAATAAGCACCCTGGAACTAATTGAAGCTAATTCAATCTACCGTAATATCTTATCAACCGTATAGCACGTCCTCACTCACTGATCCGTTCGTAAGAGCACATTGCTCGACTTGTCTGATCACTCCACTAATGCAAGAAAGACTGCACCTGCGTCATTGAGTTTCTTCCCATCAATAATTTTCAGTGACATTCATTTCTCATCCTATAGGACAATGCGGGTTTAAAGCTCAATCTGGCCGTAGCCCATTCTGGTATTTTGGTTTACCAGGCAAGCTCGAAAATCAGCTCTTTTTCCTGGGCTCGAATTCGTAAAGTCAGTTTCAAGCGCAAACGGTTTCTTATCAAACTGCATCCTGAAACCTATGTAAGTTTTGCTGACAGTCCTATTATACGCTTGTTGTTTTCCAAAACTTCACAGCAGGCTACTTGTCATGCGGCTTGCTCGAACATAGTTTATCTATCCATGTTTTCGATTTCCAGTTTCTAGAGTTGTTTGATCGATTGTTGCCACACGTTCCGTTCTGAAATGGGATGTTGGAATAAATTTTGGATTTGGCCAAGGTGCCACATCGCTGGATCCGGTGTAAACAAACAGAAAACAAGCAACGCTGATTCCCGACTACGGTATCTAAATATACAGCATTCATGTAGGAATCACATGAAATCGAATGTGCCGCGTTTTTTTTAATCACTTCATATTTGTAAAGTTTGCTGGTACAAAGCGAAGGCGGGAGCTTGCCTTATTACTCTGCGATGACCTGTACTACTATGCCACAGTCATAATGGTGCTTCAGTTGATCACCCTTTCTGTCCCTTTTATCGTGACAAATCGCAACTCTGTTTGGTGTTGAATCGACTAAACCGATTGTAACCCTTTCCAGTGGGTGTGCTAATTACACGTTACACGAGAGTGGATCGAATCGGAAACTCCTCACAATACTTATATTGTGCTTTCATGCTGATTTTAAATGACGTTTTTTACTGATGCAGTTAAAGTCAGAAAGAAACCACAAACTTGAAATGACCGGTTTTTTATTGGCCCGTGTTCGCAACATTTCCACTCGCTTTCAAATTCCCTGGATCCCGCTAGAATAGACACCATTATTTAATAACGTGTTGCCGATCAAAAAAAACATTTCCTTTGTTTCTAGCACGCTGCAGAATTTGTCTTCGACTCTCGGGACGAATGCAAAAGTTTCTGGAAACAGTGTATCGAACACCATGCATTCTTCCGCTGCCAGGCCGTCCGACAGTCTATCCCCCGTCGCGGGCGTATGGTTTCCAAAGGTTCATCATTCCGGTTAGTTAACTGAGCAATGTCAGTCTACCTCACTGTCTGGATTTTGTGGTGTTTCTTCTGTGAAATCTCTTAAACCCGCTCGCTTGTCGCTACAACTGTTTTGGCGATGGGTTGTTGTCCAACCCTAGAACATACCCGAATTTCAGTATTCCATTTGTAAGGAGACTTTAGTGGATTGCAAACCCATGACCCTTTAGGGGAGATGGCGCAAGTGGTTAGAGCGCGAATTTACTTACCGGAAGGTATGTGCGTCGACCTCGACCTCTGCCTCTGGACTTTCCCTGTCTAGGCTTGGACAACCTGGCAGTATCCCAGTCCTCGTGTTTCCTTCGGGTGGTATGGCAGTTATGCGCCGGAAAGGTGCTACAGCTGAACGACCCTTTAGGTTTTACTTGCTTCTTAGGACCCGCCCTCTGGTGCTGGTTCCCTAAACTTTATCAAGCGCTTATCGAGACCCTCTGTCCCTGTGCTGTGAGTGGACGGTCGCAAGGCTTTGTCGGTTACTGAAGACGACATGTTCGCGGCGGCTGAATCATGTCGTAAGATTTTGGAATTTTAACCAAGAGTTCATTTGCTTGGACACGAAAAATTATTAACAATCGAACCAACACCTCATCTGAAAACCGCCACTACTCAAGTAGCAATTTAGAGACAGATCACAAACGTCAACTGCTTGAGATTGGAGAATAGTCAGGCTTCATTCTTCCTAAGTGCAAATTATTCACGTTGCCAAATGAACACTTGTGAAAAATAGCACTGATCCGCTGACTAGAATGTTAGAACGACGTCGACCATCACTTGATTGCAGCGTAGATTCAACCACCTCGTTGTGGTTCCTGAAGAATAATTCAGCCGGTTTCCTTACCTGCTTGCCTATCAGCTGGTGAGTTTAAGCCAACCTCGATTCGCAGTAAATAGGCCTTGGCAGTAAAACTGACTATATGTGAGGCCAATTCGATATGTCCATATCGAAAGCTTTTGCAATGTTTACCCCCGAAGACAGGCCATCTTTGAAGGGGAGGCCTTGTGGTCTCTTTCTCCAGGCGGATTACCTTCGGAACTGATATACAATACCTCAAGTCGATGTGCAAAGTCAGTGGACGATTGAAGAAAGGCATCATATTTAGCAGCCTTCGGTTCAATTTGTCTCCTGGTGTAAACTTGGTGCAACTGTTTTTCAATAGCCTCACTTTGTAACATCGATTTCGGTTGTTTCTTCAAAACAAGCTCTCTGAGTTATTCCGTGGCCTAAATTGCCTTCCGTATCATATTTGATTTCTTGCTCGTCTCACTCATTCTCCAAAATTTGAGCCTAGTCCTAGATATATCGTACCCCAAAATCGATAAGCCACGTGTCCATTCACCAGTCACCCTAAGACCAGCTTATACACGACAGTTTCTGCATTGGGTTACACGATTTTCAAGGTCACACTCCCGATAATTTTTAGCTCGGGCCATACTCATCTCTCCAGAAACTGTCCCAAAAGGCCTTTCACCATGCAATGTTTCCAAACATTTGATCACCGATAGCTTTGCAGCGTGGCAGAGGTTACTTGGCTAACGCACAAACGAGAACTTGTAGGGTAGTAAATGAGCTAGTAAAAGGGGGGCTTATAACATGTAACATATTGAAGTATCGCCGTCCGTCAAAGACAAGGTCGCTTTGCACTCCATACCGCAAAAAAATCCCGAGGAAGACGAAATTAGATGGCAGTATGAATAAGGACCTCCACTGTCTTCGTAGTTGAGATCCATGTTATCCCTCTTACACGTTATTTGAAAGCCTACGGGACGAAATAACCGATCAGCTTCTAGCGAAACTACTTAGCTAATTTTCTTCTCTCGTTGAATGCTATTCTAATGTTGTGCAAGGCGCTCAAGTGATACTGAGTCAACCTCACGGATGACGTCTTAGTAATACATAGTTTGCAGATGTGCCTATTCCAACCCTGAGCAAACGTCTAGGCATCTTTTTCGCGATCGTTTTACCAACGGATGTAAAGCTTTTTAACCAAAGTCTCCACGTTTACCCTTAAGTCTCTCTATGCCAGTGTCCCAATCGGGCCAAAACACAGGAGGGAGTTTAGATCTACGCTATATTTTGCAGTATAAGGGCGAATTCATCACTTACCAGGCAGTAACAGGATTATGAATTTTTGAATTTTTGAAACTAGTCTACTCAATTCCGAAGCAGTTGTAAAACGTTTGATGGGTCCGCTTACGTAAGAAACATACGTTTTTGGAAATTCCCATCTAGTCCTTGGATATTTTGCAATGGGTCATGTGGCTTGTTACCTTTCTTCAAGGGTAAAAACGCTCTTTTGAGAACAAAATTGTAACTGCCTTAGAGACGGTAAATCCCATAGATCCCCGGCGAAAAATACCGGCTGTGGACCGTAGTGAAAAGGTACCTCTTTTCAGAAGGATTATTATGTGGTGTTCGTGTCTTGGCCACTATCAATCTGAGTTACTCAGAAATCAACTGCTCTACTTTTTGTCTTTCGTCGCCACAAGTGGAATGTGTTGCAGAAAGCCACTTCACGATTTGGTAACTCTTCATTGGTTTTGAATTAATTCCGTTATGTATTTCTCTTGGTTTCATTTTCCCAAAGTTATACCGGAAGAACGCAAAAGCAGTTGATTGAATATGTGCGCGAAAACTACGTGAAAATGCCACACTTTGAAAGGTAAGTAGCATTTTACCATAATAAAGCCCTGTCTGCCTTTTGCTTCCTCCCATCTACCTATTATGTTCGCTTCTTAGTTACACTCATGCTTTTATTCGATTTTCTTTTTGGAATTTCTCTGACGTCTATGAGACAATTCGCAGAACCTTCATCGTCAGCTAGGAATGAACTTGATCTTACGATCAAGTTGTCTTGCGTGCTTCGAAGTGTAAATACTTCTTGATTCATTAACTGAAGGACTATTCTTCAGATAGTTGCACCGTCAACAAAGTTGACCGTCTACTTACAGACACTGATTCGTCTTTAAGATGTGGAAATGACGTGTTGTTGCGGTTCTGTAGTGGACGGTAAAGCCAATGTTTGCAGCGAACTGCTCGTGTTTGGAGGCGAGGATCGGCGAAATTGTGAATGCTCTGTCCCTTCAAATAATCGACACTATCGACGTGAAAGCATAAGACAAAACCAAACAAAGGAATGTTACGGAGTAAAATCCATCTTCTCCAGAATTGTGGAAAAACAGGCTGAATCTTTGAGTGCAGCCGACAAGTATTCGTGATACGCTACCCGAAGAATGGCATGTAAAACTAATAGTCAGAATGAGGGCTACGAACGAAGAATAAGGAAAATTGTGAATTTCCCAGACGGCACACACTACTCGTATATGGTTGCCGACGGCAAACTTGTGTGTTCTCTCTGGAAGACATATTGCGATATCTCCAAAATCGAACCAACTGTAACTTAAGAGGGCCTATGTGGAACACATTCAGTTGATGAATATCGCAACCGAGAGGTTCAGGTGAGATTCATTTGAGCTTCCGGTCAAAAGCATATTACTTTGCAAATGAATGTATTGAGCTAAAATACGAATTTCTTGTGTGTGATAGGCAGTCGCAAAGGTGTGGTATCTATCAGCCAACTGGTGTAGGACTCGACACCGGTACACACTATTTCCGGTTACCGCAAATATGCACACTAGATGGACTGAAGGAGAGCAATGTTCCGTAAGTTATAAAAGTGACAGGGTTTCAAAAGTGCACCAAGACTATCGTTTTACGTTCCGTAGCTTGGTCACAGCGTGCAAGATGTTTCAACCAGTTCAGGACTCGAAATCCCGATAGTATAACCAAACGCCTGTTGGCGCCGTCCGTGGAGGGGTTGTCCCTCGCTAAGTTGTGACAGTTGTCGAATAAGCCACATGTAGGTTATCGGACTACGTTTCGCTGCAGACATTTTAAAACCTACTATCATACTTGACTGTTTTTTTTTCTAAGTGTAAAAACGAAACCCATTCTTCTCATCGGTGTACGGCAAAACATTGGCATGAACATTTCAATTTTACCTAGCAAAATGCTCAAGCATTGGTGTGTATAAGACGTCGGTTTTCCGTTTCTTTTTCGTATCTGATACCGAAACGTCAGTGGTTCGTGTTTTCCCTGATCCCTTGGGAATTCATGAGAGGCAACAACACGTGGTGGGCCACTTATATACGAAAGCTATTGTTGACTGTCAACAGGAAAAAATGAAACAGGAGAGACAAACACGTGCACCTGAATAGGTCTGTTACCGCGGCATCAGGATGGCAAAGCGGNGCGGTGTAAAAGCTGAAATTAGAATATGCCTCAGTCAGCAGGAATTTTTGGCTACAGGGCCTATCGCTTATGGTCAATTACAGGGCACCAGGTAGGCCAAACAGACTTCAGCACCTGCACGAGTCGTCTCGAGCACAGAAAGGTTATTTAAACAATGGCTGCTGCCTCGGTATTGACCAAAATGCAATTATTCAGTGCATCTATCCATCAGAGTGCAATGAAAACCATGGTCAAATGGTTTGACCCAGAAGAATGTTAAACGAACCATAGATAGATACAGCTCTATGTAGGTACAATCAGTTCGAATGAAGCCAGCTTATATGACGCTACCACCTGCGGACAGTGCATAACTCAATAAACGATAATTAAATTAACTAATGCACTAGGCTCAACATGTAGTGCTTTTACGATTCATTTATAATTCATCACTACACCGGTTAAAGTCTTCCAGCTCACGATAAAATATGCCTGATTCTACAGGTACTTTCTGTGTAGATAGAGCTGCCAGATGCCTCTCCAAACGCGTCAGGTAGCATTGTCCCACGTGGTTGAATGTATTGGTTACCCAATCTGTATAAATAAGTGATATGGCCTTGCACTTCGTTGAAAACAATCGCTCAACCACGGTTTTCACCGCACTTTGACATATGTACAGCGTAGACACTCGAAGGCGATGCTGGATTATGTTTATGCCACAAATGGGACAGTATCTATCCGATTTTTTGACATTTTTCTACAAACGTACTACATCCAGGCATTGTAATTGACCTGGGCCATCTCTCACCTTCTAATTGCCCCTCATCTTTTGACCTAGAAGCATAAAATTGACTGAACTAGATTTTACTTGCCCTTTTTTCTGCTATCTTGCTTATTGATTGCCAGGCTTTGAACTCACTCACCGTTTACGCATTTCTGTTTGTTTCGCCTGTTTTGCTGTTTTAACCTTGGCAGCGAATATGACATTAAACGCCACTTATTTTAGAATGACGTGTATCCCGGGGGGTTTAGGCTTGTTCGCTTCGCCGTAATTCGAAAAAACTCGGTGTTGAAACACTTGCTCGTTTCATTCCGTTTTTCGTGCTGTACTCCGTTGGCGCTCGGATCGAGAATCCAGCTTCACCGGTTTTGAGGCCATATTCGTCTAAAAGATCTCCTCTCCGCTGGTTACTTTGTACTCGTTTCCTTAGGTAACACTTTAAGGTTACATAGCTTTTGATAAAAGTGATTGGTGGCATTTGTCTAGTTTCATCTTATGGTTTCTTTTTCTGTGGCTGAATTTTTACACCAATAAACCACTGAACTCTGGTAATCTTTTTTTGTAAAAACCAGAACCTTGGTTTAACTCATGATGAATACGTTCAAACTCCGATTTTATGCGGTAATTTGCTCAATAGTCTCTTGATTACTTGTTGCTGAGTAAAACTTTCATACTGCCCAATAAGCCTTTGATGTCACAATAGTAATGGGCTCGAGATGGCCCAGTGGTTAGAGCGCGAATTTATTGACCTGAAGGTCCTCGGGTTCAAACCCGACTTCTACCTCTCGTGCTTTCTTCTTGCGGCATGGCAGTTAGAGACCGAATGGATGCTACAGCTGAACGAAAAACAACCTGGTAATTTTACACTTTCTCAGGTATTTTGGGTAACTCTGAAAATCTCGTTTCCTGGTTGTTTTCCTTCAGGTTTCTATTGTTAGCCCATCAGTGCGGAGGTTGTCGGGTTTGTAGAAGAAATCCGTTTCCTGTTTGTCTCGATTTGGGTGCATACCCATCCTGGATGGTCGAAATGGCCGGATTCACAAAACTCCATGTTTTTTGTTTCACATCACAACTATTTCACCTGCTCCAGCGTTGCTGAATTCCAGAGAACATTGCCATTTATCTGGCAACCTGACACTGTGGTATCGTTGGGTCGCTAAAACAACACAGTCTCATCAAATCGCTGCTGGTAATACCTTAACACTAGAACGAATGTGTGTTCGAAGATGACCTCAAGCATACTTCAAAAGCTGTATTCTTTGTACCGTTTCGATATCACATCACCATCCCATGATTTTATAGCCCCGGCTGTTTCTGACCTTGTGACAAAAACTGCTGCTAATCAGGTGCACCGTTTCTACACGGCTTACTCACGGGAAAATGTGAGTGAATGAGCGACTGTGTGGTCTTGTTCAGGGGAAAATGGATTTGTCATACTTCCCATGCCGTGTTACTGTCACTATCAAGTTACTGTTACCGACTATAATTTATATTCGCTGGGCTGGACAGCGCTTTTTGTGAGAAATGCTTGGAGTTCTTGGGTACCTTCAAATTCAGTCAGCCTGCAGCTTTCGCATAACAGACTGGTATTTTCAGGGACCAGCGTTACTATAGATCAGTTTGACTGAAACATGTCTGCCATGGGCCTCAATCAACTGCTGATATCCCAGATAAGATGAGACTTGGTGGGCTATAAATTTCGACAGCAACGATTGTATGTGCTTTTATAATTCCGGACGGATGCAATGATACACAAAACAACCACACTGCGATGTTCAGTGATGGCAGGCTCCACATACTGTCGACAATATTTCCATTTTTCCGTAGGTGAGTGGGGTCAACTGGCTTCTGCGAGCAAAAGCACTTTCGACAGCTCGAGGTAGCTCAGCGGCTAAAGCACGAACGTACTGGTCGGAGGGTCCGTGGTGCGAACCCAAACTCAGCATCTCGACTGCTTCTGTCCATGCCTAGGCAACCTGACAGTATCTCACCTCTCCTGTTCCCTTTGGGTGGAATGGCAATCAGATATCAAAGGGTTGTTACAGCTGAACGGACGTTACTATTATTGTTACTATTATTATTATCACTATTTCGACCACATCACCTCAGAACTAACGTCAACATACAACCTACTCGGATTTGACCGGACGGTTGGACCGATAGATCTCACTGCGTCTCGGATGTTCCGTTTCTGTTCACGTATGGGGTAGTCTTAGCACACACAAAGTGCCATACCGCTGCTCCGAAACTTCAGTTTGTATGGAGTGAACCATGGCACGCATTTGCATTTCACAGCACACAACTTTATAGAAACCCTCTGATGGAACACATTAAGGACGAAAATATTTTGGAGCAAAGTGACAAGATTTCAGTTTTTATGCTCCATGGGCTTCTTTGCAACTGCAGATAAGAATCTGCTGGTAGCTGCACAGCACACCTCAGGCTATAGTAGATAACTGGTGGCATCGTTATCAGATATGTCCTATGAGGTTTGAATGTCATAGGATCAGGGGTATGCTTTGAAGTCTGGTCTCAAAAATGTACTGATCCGTCCTCGTGGCAGGTTGGTTGGCTACTCGCCTTTCTTTACCAAATGGTGTTTCGCAGTTTAGACTCCTAAAATGGGTTGTATATTTACATTTTTCTGGTAACATGTAGACACCGTGGCTATCGTGTCTGCGGTTGTGGAGACGTCAGCTGAGAGGTATTGTGAGGATAGCTTCCCGTAGCGCCGGGAAGAAACTTAATCACACTTTATAGATTCATGATCTCAGAATGCTAGGATGGTTTAGTAAAACTGCCACAATCATGTCCGGTGCAACTCTCATCCTGATGAACATAAACCAAACACACTGACAATGCTTTCCGAGGTCTGTACCATTTGAATCCAACTGAAAATGTGTAACTTCAGAAGCAAGACTAATCCCTTCAAGGACATGAGTAATAGTTTCAACAGCAAGTGAGCCAGTCGCACCGATAAGCTTTCATGTAAAGCAACTCACTGGGATGAGTTCTAATTCTTCTCTCCCTCAGCCTGTTGCCCCCGGATCCACATGAGGGCAAGGAAGCCAGTGGACTCAAAAAACAAGACATTGCAGTCCAGTCACACTGATGTATCTGCATTATCTCGGTGCAGCTTAATAGTATTCACTCTCTGGCCATGAGTTACGAATGTTTACGAGATGGCTCTTCCAGGCAGAAAAAAGCACTATCTTGGTTGTTTGTACTGACAACAGCAACGATTGTCCGGTAATGTCGGTTGAAAGAGTTTACCCGTGTTCGACAAAGCGGAGACGCTTGAGATACCTGCTTAACCACCGCGTGGTTAGCGGTGGTGCTGTCGTTCAGGTGCGTACTCTGCTTTTTTATTGTTAAAGCAGTCTCACTAACTCCCACTGTAATGAAAATCGAAGTACGCGTCACATGAGCAACAGGTAAAAAGGCGTATTATTCAATATCAGAGTTATAAAACTTCAAGGTGTACTATGTACACCGGCTCATACTGACCATGGCGAATACAGCCTGATTCTAGTTTTTTGGTGGATAAAGAGCTGGTTTAAACGAATGAAGCTTCAAAAGATGTCACACTTGTTTTTATGATCTTAAAGATTGAAGAAATGTCGATTTGGTTGTGATGGTAGACAAGGCGTTTGATGTTATAACAACCACTCTAATACGACTTCGTGGTTGTGCACCGCACTTTCAAGCGTCAACAGTGCAACTGCTTGCCTAATCCGACTGAATTCGCTTGCATTTTCGGAGTCATAATAAAGAGCCAATAGTGTAGTTTGCTTTCCTGTATCAGGTTCAACAACCCCATAGCTCACTAATCAGACTCGCAACATCCATTAACCTCCCTAGACGAAACGAGCCAAGTGAGCCAAAATAAGCCCGTGCTGTGAGATACCTCCTCCTGGTGAGAAAACCACCCAGAACGTACCAAGGAATGCTTCATAAGAGTCACTAATCCCTCAGTGTGAAATGTTTTTTCTGTTCCTACCCGCAGTGGTCACAACGTTTTTCCTTCCATTTAGTAGAGAACTTACTATGTCCCATTTATAATTGTCCAAGCAAGGCTGTGAGAGTCCAAGTAAAACGAAGCTTTAGTGAATGTGTCAACCCGATTGATGAAGTGAACTAAACTATGGCTGTTTTCTTATCGACCCTAATTTTGATCAGCATCATATGGAAAAGGTGTTTTTTTTCAGTTTGACGAATAAAACCACGGAGGAGATTCTTTTCGCTCTCAGTGCGTCCACCGACCGAACGTGCGGTTTGAGTGCGACATTATTCCTACTCAACGGGATCCCGGTTGATCACAACGATATCACCTCCGTACTATATACATTCGGGGTGAGATGGTTCACTGGTTGGAGGATCTCGACTGTATCCCGACTTTCCTTGTCTAGGCCTGGGGAACTGGGCAGTATCCCAGCCTTCGTGTTTTTCTCAGTTGGCATGGCAGCTAGGCGCCGAAAGTGTTACTGCTGAAAGGCGACGATGTATTCTTTCGGGGTCTGTTCAACGTGTAGAACACCGCTCGACTGGATTTAATCCTTACTTTAGTTGATGGAAAGCACATTTCCTATGCACAGCTGGTAGTGGATGTTTAAACTGATATTGTGTTTGGCCCTCAGACCACCGTTCGGCTGTGTTGGGTTGGGTATGACTTACTTATGTGGTTTTGGCAGAGCAACACATTTCTCGCTGTTTATCTATCGTATATGCTCGGAAAGGGGACTAATTATCATGGAGCTAGATTTGTGAGCTGTGTGGATTGTTTCAGTCGGTAAAAAGTTCCGTTGCGGCAACGCTCCTCTGTGTTATTTGAACCACACATTTGCATATTAACTAGCTTCATTCCTACTGATCTTCAACCAATTATGTGCTAGATGCGATTAGAATGGTGTTCTTTTTCGTATGCGACCGGTTCTCATTCTTGCACAGCACAGTCCAACACATTAAACGGGCGTTAGCTGAGACGCTGTATAAAACACATTTTTTTAAGAATGTGAGGACGTTTAGCCTATAGTGTTAAAAGAAATGTTTACTTATTTCGCTAAATTGTGAAAAGCAACATGAGTGGGATTTATTGGCGCTTCCCTACCAAAAACATGCAGGCAGTGAAACGAGCAATTCTGAAAGGATACCGCTTGCCGGATAGCACTATCGTGTGTTCCTTGTATCTTGCATAATTTTCTCATAGTCCTTCGAAATTCGGATAACAGTCTTTCGATGTAAAAGTCAGTCCACTTGGTTTGAGGAGATTGGTTGATCAGTTCAACGAACCGTTTTTTGTACAGTCCAACGCACATTGCCTTTCTCTCTACTAAGTGTTTCCTCAGATTCCTCGTAGACAGAACTGTGATGGTGTGCTTAAGATTGCGACTCAGCCTTTTTTGAACCCAATGAGAGGATACCAAGTATGCTGCTTCATATGAACAATGAAACGAAAAGAACACAGACACGGTCTGAAACCTTTTATGACTGGATATAATGTACCAAGTGATTTTGGTCCGCACCTACTTTGCTTTTGTCTTCCATATTTTCGGACGCAACTAATGGTTTCGTTCTTTGTTCTAGGCTACGAAGAGGCATTCAATATCCATGTATATTCGTATGAGATACTCATGCAGAATCGTTTCTTCTTGTTTGACCGACCGTAGACAACACTTTCACCCCGTTAATGATACACATGCATTGGTACTTTAGACTTGTCTTCACCAAAAGCAATGTCGATGAGCAACATGCAGGCGAAAACTTTCCTGTTTGTAAATCCGTGTACTCCAATCAGTCTTGGATCTGTGCTGTGTTCCTCAAGTTGTTTTAAACTTTTAGATGAGGTGCTGATAACGTCGACGCTGTCCTTATTGTTGCAAAAAAGTAACGGACAATCAAGAGTGCTGGTTTGCTGAATTTCTTTCAGTTGCGAGTTTCGTCGCCGTCGTGACTATAAGCCCCCATTACACATGATAGAGATAGAAATCTTGCTGTACACATTAGGAGGAAGCAATCGTTATCGTTGGTAGCAATGCCAGAGGAAGAACGCTGGTGCTTTACTGGCGTAAATAATCAGTTTTCGATCACCAGAGATGTTCAGTGCATTAAACATTTCGACTGAACTCAAACTCTTCTGGGTTCCAGAAATGGGATTTAGTCACGAAGTCTTTCAGCTGCGCTGCTAACAATTTCTCCCACTGACTGTCCCCTTCTCTTATCGTCGTCACTTATCCTATTTTACCAGCTCTCAGTTACACGAAACTATCTATTCACAATGCGCCGTAAAAATATTTGCATGCTTTGCATAATATTTGTTTTATCGTGGTTTCAAAAACGGTGTGAATAACTTGAACACTTCCAAGACGCAATCTCTGGCCTGTATTCTGTTTTAATGTTTCTTGGCTGTTTCTGACTCACCTCAGATCGGCGTCTGCTGGACGTGTGCTCGGAGCCCCTGTCCCGGAACTTTTGCTCCCCGGGCTGCTCGGCCCGCCTGCACATGGGACCCACCCTGACACTGGTCCTCATTCAGATTATGGTCCTTCCACACGACTGCTCACCCAGACTCGGCCGCAAACAGACCCAGCTCCGCGAACTCATCTTACCGACAGTTACTTGTCTCCAGACTCCAACCGAACCTTAACTATTGCGATTCCTGTTGGCCAGCAAGCGAATGGTGGAGGTCCCCAGTTCATTCATGGCACTGCTCAACTCGTGAGACAGCACAGGAGTGGCTCCATGGCAAATGAGGCCACTCTTCCTGGAACACTTCCTCGAGGCGCTTATCTACTCTCTGCCATGGGAACGGCTAGTTCCGGAAGCTGTACAATGAATAGCTCCGTATCCGCGGGGGCTCCATACGCCTCAAACAGTTCA